TTTCCCAATCTTGAACCAGTCTGTTGTTCCGTAGTCAGTTCTTACTGTTGCTACTTGGTCCTTGTACAGACTTCTCAGGAGAGAGACAAGGTGGCTTGGGATGCTATAGATGCAGGCAAAACATCAAGAGAGAATGCTTCTAGAACATGGCCATATAGCCTGAAAAACCTACAACAACCCAATGATTCTGGCCATGAAACCCTTCAACAATACAATGTTTTGAATGTTTGTATAATTTTGTTAACACTATCCGCAATAAATTTGATAATAAAAAACCCAAAAAAATAATTGGGGAGGAAGACAAGATGCATAAAAGGCACTGGGTGGAAATCATGTTGCCTCCCAGATGTTGCTGGACTCCAAGTCACAGCTGTCAAGTTGATAGGGCTGTATTAGATGTAAATGTATTGTCTGTGAATGCCATTGTGCATTTCTGTGCAAAAAATACAGTTCCGGCCCTACTTACCTCTCCGAACGCATCTCCACCTATGAACCGACCAGGACATGAAGATCGTCTGGGGAGGCCCTGCTCTCGATCCCGCCTGCATCACAGGCACGCCTGGTGGGGACGAGGGACAGGGCCTTCTCGGTGGTGGCCCCTCGACTGTCGAATGCCCTACCTGTAGACATCAGACAGGCCCCTTCGCTGTTGGCGTTCCGGAGGAAGGTGAAGACCTGGTTCTTTGAACAAGCTAAACAGTGCAATTGAATATATGAATACGGTGCAATCGAACATAGGAACATGGAACAAAGGATTATGAGAAAGGATTCTGATTTGTTGTTGAGGCATTATGATAATGATTGTTTATTGATATTGACTGTTATGTAAATGTGTTTTAATTGCCTATAATACTGTCTTGTGATAATTTGTACTATGTAAACCGCTGTGAGTCACCTAAGGGCTGAGAAAAGCGATATAGAAATAAAGTAAATAAATAAATAAATAAATAAATAAATAAATAAATAAATTCTAATGCACATGTGATCACAGCACATTGCACCAAAGAGTTAAGCAAGTAGAGATGTGAATCTAAAAGGACTGCTGAGTTATGAACATATGACAGGCATGATGAGAACTGTACTATTTCCTGCGGTCCCAGTGGGTATCAAAAGAAGTGGCAGGCATGTGCGTGCCCTCTTTTCAATGATCTCTTGCCAAGTGCGTATCTTGCTATGGTCATCACTTCTCTGAGTATATCTCCATATATACTGATAGAAGATGTGATGTAAATAGTTGTATATACAGCAACAAGTGAAGAATAAAACCTCCACAGGAAAAAAAAATGAGATAAACAAAAAGCCTTTTCACATGGAGCATTTTGATAGTTCAGAAATAATCAAAACTTTGACAAATTGATTTCCCCTTACAGCTCTGTTTTTCCAGCTAACTTGACCACTCACAGTACTCCATGGAAGGGAATATTTATCTTATTTACAAATGACACAAAACTGACAAGGTTGGTTAACACAGTGAAAAAAGGAACAGAGTTTAAATTGATCTAGGCAAACTCTGTTAAATGATAGGATTCAGCATCTTGGCTTACCACTTAGAATTTTAGAATGAGTCCAAGATCAGATTGATCAACTCAATAATCTGGAGATCACAATCTACCATTGCTAGTGCTGGTCATTAGGGCTGGGCGATGTCATTCGTTAATTTTGTATATCGTTAAGTTTTTCGTTAATATTCAATATACGAAACGATATCAAAATTATTTTCAAACACGGAAGTGTATTTTAAATATCGAAACAGCATGCGCCAAATATTCTCGTATTTCCGTCCATTTCGGAAATACCTAAGATGGCGATGCTTGCTGCTCCTCCTCCTCCTTTGGAAGGGGCTCCTTTCCTTCCAGAGTGAGCTTTAGGGAAGAAGGCAGGGGCCCTGCGAGGGAGGCTTCGGCTATGACTGTCATTGCCGTCTCCATCCCTTCCTTCCTCCAATCCTCCGACCCTTTCTCCTCCTCCTCTTCAGGCCGAGCCGCTTGAGCCGCTCGGAGATGCCGAGGGCGAGGGGGAGGAAGAGGAGGAGGAGCAGCAGGCTGCGCCGCTCCGGTGGGGGCGGGGAGGAAGAGCAGCCGGGGGAGACCTCTCCCGCCGACCTCCTCACTCCACTCCCAACCACCCACTCCCCGTGAGTATATGGAAATAATATATATATATTTATTATATTTATTATTATTATTAAGAATGGATGGCCATCTTTCAGTAGTGCTCACTGTGCCTTCCATGCACGGAGGCAGAAAGTGTGTTGTTATTATTATTGAGAAGCATTGTCAAACCAGAATAGAGATTTCACCCCTCCTCTCTCTCTCTCTTTCCCCCCTCTTTCCTTCTCCGAGGTTAAAACTATTATTTAAAACTATTATTTTTACGTTGCGCAACCGCGGGCGCCATCTTAACGAATCAATTCGTTAATATTAACGAAATTTCGTAAATATCAAACTTTTAAAAGGGAAAATT